CACGGAGTCTGATAGCTGTAAATCAAAAGTGTTAAAAAATGTCCTCTGTACTTCATTTGGGGCCCACCCAGATAATGTTGCTTACGGTTACGGGCCTATTGTTGTGTCGTTACGCCATTGCACAGAGTCCAGACTTTCCTGTGTTCTTCTCAAGAGCATACATGGTGAGGACACGAGTCGGTATTTGCATTCATGTGAATTGAGAAATGGCCAATGTGTAGAGCTTGTTGTTAGATGTTAGATAGCAATACTCATAGGCTTTCTCATGTGCCTCGGACCTGTGTTTGGACAAGGTATCAAGCGTTAAGTGCAGCAAAGAGAAGAAGGAATAGAAAGAGGGAGGAGTTGATGGATGGAGAACTGCTGGGTACCATGAATGTTGAAAAACACACTCGGAAGTATGAATGCCAGTGTAAAACGCACGAAAATGCAATTTTCTCTTAACACCTGTTATCAGTTTCATAGCCTGATAACCTTACATGCTTCCAGTTTTTTGGGAACTTGTTTGCCTATTTAAGCGGATAGGTTCACTCTGCCCCCCCCTTCTAATCAATAGATAATCTACAGAGAAAAGAGAGATTCAGTATAAACATGGAGATTTTAACTGTTGTAGGCAGAGCATTAAAAAAGCCTCTTGTTCCTCCAGTCTTTATTGTGCCATTTAAAATAGTTTACTTACTCTCAACGGCAGCATTAGAGTCTGTTTATTTAAATTCATATGTAGAAGTTCTACTAACTTTAATGATGTTAGGTTTTAATAAAAGCTATTATTCCTAGCCTACTAAATAAAGAATGTTTATTTATTCTTCCGTTCTTTTACGAATATATTTGAGTGGACATCAGTTTTTTTTTTTTTCAAGTCTGTCTACAGTTCTGTGCATGACCGGTCTCCTAACATTATCTGCTTGTTAAAAATTCACCATGAGCATTAATAATTTCACATGATCTCATTCCTTTGCAAGTATTTGTCTTTGGGATTCTATATTTAACAGAAGCATTTTGGAACCAAGAACATTTTTCTATTATCTTACTAAAAGCCAAACTTTTTATTATCTTCTAGATGCTATAGTAGTTATACACATCTTTAAATAATATACTATTAAATTTGTTTTTCAAGTATTATTCGTTTCAGTAAAAAACATATCAAGAAGAAAATTATGCGTTTATGATCAAATTGTTTTTTTTCCTTCATATTTATGTTTTTATGGTACAATATAGCTTTTTTCTAATTTAGGGGGTGATCTTTTTATATCATGTCCCATTTACTTTTATTTTTTTTTTAAGTCTGTAATTTGATCCCAGCAATGCTTGATGTTCCTGAGTCTAATACAGGAGTATAAATGACATCCTGTCTCCTTGCCAGACTCTGAATCAGTCTACTGTGGTTGCTGGCATCGCCAAGGAAACCAGTGCGTGATCGAGCTGCTGATGCTCTGTCTAGAGTGGGCTGTGGGCACCCTGCTGAACATTCAAACAGAGGAGCATCACATCAATTTACCCCTCTATGATTAAATAAACGTTCTGCCTCATTGGAAAGTTTTTCAGGTCTATTGAAGGAAAACTGCATCATAAGCTGAATTTAATGCAGCATCACTGAAACTTGTAGACTTTTGGCAGATCGTGCTGCAGTCTGCAGGAACACACGCTTAAAACGAGCAGCTGGAGCCGGCTATCTAGCTCTGGGCCGGCCTTTTCTCCACCTGTACACAAAGGCTGCAGACGTCTACATGAAAAGCTTTCAGACCACATCTGCATTTGCTCACGCTGTCTATCAGAATATCAGACAGAGTTAGATTTTCTGCTGCAAAACACATTTATGGGGTGTATAAGATTGTTTTTTCCCCTTCTCTTAAGAGACAGGATCAGCATCATGAAAGGATGTTGATTTGCTCCCACATTTTTCTAAACGAATAGCTCTGACAAACAGTGCAGCAAGGACAGACACAGATCTGCAGTTTAGCATTGATTTCTGGGTTCAGACTCATCAGAGCCGGAGCAGCTGATGAGATCATGACAGGCAGCAGAGCAACAAAGCCGTGGGCTTGGAAGCGGAAAGTAAACATGCCTTGAAGAAGAGCAACTGCCATCTGGCTTATGACTCAATAAAAGCAGGGATTAGATTGCTGTTGCTGTAGGTTAATAGATGATGGATGAAGAGCCCTGATTGTAAACAACTCCACTGAGTGTAAAAACAAGGTATTTGTTGTGGTTACTTAAACAGAATCCTTGCAGAATAACATGAATGTGATTAACAGATGCCTGCAGATAATCCTTAAAGCAGATTTGGTGATGTTGGTTTGTTGATTTCCTCTTCGCTCTCCAGGCAACAATTGGAATCGACTTCCTGTCCAAAACGATGTACTTGGAAGACCGAACGGTAAGGACCTTCGTTACGTCTGATTTATTGTCCTAAAAGAGACATGAGGTGTTGGATTTGCCTTCAAGCTGCATCAGAAGCAGCTGTCTTCTTAGATGGCTTCCTGGTGTTAATCTGAACAATAATGTGAATGCATTCAGACTGCTGAGCAGAGCTGAGGGAACAGCATGTCATTTTGTTGTGCTGCGTAGGTGGATACAGTGAAATCTGCTGTTTTCCTGTCTGCTCATCTTTAAAAGCAGTAAAGCATTGGAACTGACAGCTTTTTTTCCTCCTGAATAATGCTTGTAGTGAAGCTAACGCCGTGCGTATGACTGGCTGAGTGTGATGAAGGGAGCCAGCTGTTACCAGGCTCTCTGACTGTCTCCATAATCTTCCCCTCCTCAGCGTTCTCTCTCTGAACCCCAGGTGAGGTTGCAGCTCTGGGACACAGCTGGACAGGAGCGCTTCAGAAGCCTCATCCCCAGCTACATACGGGACTCCACCGTGGCCGTGGTGGTCTACGACATTACAAGTCAGTGCCCTTGACGACAGCTTTCTGGTTTCACTCTTTGCTCGTTATGTGGGGCTCCAAATGATGGATTTTTACAGAACATTTGTTTTTACTAAAACTAATAGTTTAGATATTAGAAACCCTCATATTGTAAACATTTTTAACTTAGCAAAAGACTGCAGCTGAAATTATAGTAGATCTTAGAAGAGCTCAAGGGTTTGACTGCAGATTAATCATATACCCCATTTACCCTACCCTTGAAAAATCGTGCCGAGACCGGTCCGAGCTCAGTAACTGAGATAACTTATCGTGTGTAAATGGAAAGCAAACTCAATTGAACCGAGCTAGACACAACCGAGCCAAGATAACTGCAGACCAGTTCCAGAGGTGGGCTCGGCTCGGTTTTTCCCTGGCTCGGTTCTCTGATAACAAGAGCGCATGAGTAGAACGCGTCATCTCCGTCTGGCTGCACATCCCGATTCACACTCCATTCCATTAGTTGGCGGTAATGCCCCTCCAGAAACAGAAGAAGAAAAACTTCTTCAACTATAAACAACAATCGAAATCTTCTCCACGCAACATTTTAAATAACGGCATTTTAAATAATAACACCGATGTACGGCAATAATAATCAAGCATAACTTTCTGAATGTGACGGGCGTTGCCATTTTGATTTGCTTGATTCCCTCCTTCTTCTTCTTCTTCTTCTTGTGTTTTATGGCGGTTGGCAATCAACTTTTGCTGCATTATCGCCACCAACTGCTTGCTTTCCTCCTTCAATACTGGCAGTAATACCGCAGATCATCACTAGGAGGCGAAGAGTCGAGGAACCGAGATAGCGGGATGTGTAAACGGTCGTCAGGACCGAGCTCGGCCTGGTTAACTGATCCGAACTCGGACCGTTCTCGGCATGGATCGGTTTTTCAAGGGTAGTGTAAATGGGGCTTTAGCTTTTTCAAACAGGAAGTATGATTGGTTTTCTACATCATCTGGAAAAAAGTTGAGAAATGTTCTAGGTTTGAATATCTATCTGAAAAAGAAAACCATTTGAATACTTAAAAAAAATCTAATTAAATGATTTCTACTTTAAGCTTGAATGACTCCTTTTATATCTTTAGTTGGTTATATCACGTCTATTTTTCTTAAATTACCCAATACTTTGTTTTTACTTCCTGACTGTCAGCTTTAAATTTAGGTTGAACTGGACCTGTGGTTCTTTAACTGGGTTTGCTTAAAAAGCCATACACAATAAAATGGTATTTAAAATAAATCTACAAATAAAGAGGCCTTGGTTTAGAAATGGTTTTTAGTGCTGCTTCGAGATGCAATAATCTGACCCAAGTATGGAGTAGTGTGGGAGTTTTAGGATCAGAAAGTGCAGCTGACCTAAGCTGTGCCTGATGATAAAGTTTCTCTTTAGCTTCAGAGTTTGTCACCTTCTTTGTGAGTTGATCCTGTGTAAAAAGATCTTGCATTGGTGAAGTGGGGGTTTGATATGAAGGTGTTTGCTTTAAACCTCTTATCCAGATCTTATCTTGAAATTACAAATTTAATCACCCCTAATTTAATCTGTACTGTACTGACATGTAAAGAGAATATTCACTGGTGTCAAAAAACAAATCTGCACATTGATTTAAATCTTTCCCTCTGCAGCATTAGAGGAGAAGCTATTTAATTTCAGTTTATTCATATAGAGCTAATTCACAGCAAATGTCATCGCGAGGCCCTTCACTGTCAGTCAGTGCAGATATGTTACCCCATAGGATAGATAAGCTCCCTAAGGATACTGCCACTGGCTAATCATTAGCCGTTAATATTCCTGAAGTTGACATCATCGTTATGTAATTATTCTAAGCTATAATTTATACTTAATAGGAACTAATTTATCTAGATTTAATCCAGGGCTGATGATCTACTGAGCTTTTAGCTCAAGTATTGTGGGTTGTCGTGTCCTAAGCTGGATCTAAATGCCATCCAGCTACATCTTTTAAAATTAAACTACTTTTTTTATCTTATAAAGGAGGATTTTTCTTTGTTTTCACACTCCTGATAATTTGTGTACACAAAAGCAGGTTTTTAATTAGTGCTAATAAGATAACTAAAGTACTTGTTGCGTTTTCTATTATGTTCTAAAGTTTCTGCTAATTTCATCACTTTTATCACAATATTTCCTCTTTTTCTTATTCTTTTATTATCTTAATCAGTCCTGCTACTAAATAAATTACACAAACAGCATGAACATAAGGACCCTCGTTATGGGCTCTGTATTATTTGTATGATTAAAAACCGTGAAAGCGATTTGAATATACAACATAAAATTAATTTATCCAGTTGATTCAATTGCTTTTCAAACCCTCATTAAGGGCAACATGACGAGGGAATTGCTTTCTGGAAGACTTTTGAATTAAAAGGGTATGTAGTGATTTATTATAGCATTTAATTCACGCTTAATTATTTTGACTGTCTTATAAAAACTGTCTGTTCCCTCAGCTTGCATTAATGGTTACTCCACTGTCATTTGTTCCAGTATATCCAACTGAGGCCCATTACAATCATTCAGTCTTAATGGTTTGCTTGGTGATTACTGGTCCACACTTCTCAACCACAGACTGACTAAAATGTTGCTAGATATATCCAGCACCATAGTTCTCATATTAGTTGATATATTTGTTACACACAGGGATTTAGAATGCAGAGAAGCAGATTCTATATGAGGTCAGACTGTTCCGACTTGACAGAAGAAAACTCATTTCATAATGTTTCCAGGAAAAAAAGCCAGCCTTTATCATAATCCTGTCCAAGAAGGGGAGTCGGTCCTCAGTGTCATGCGCAATCGGAACTGCCAGCTACAGTGGACATGTCAAAGGGATTGTTTAACGAGCTGCAGCCAAGCCTGATAACTTTCTAGGGATTTGATATACCGGCACAAAATAGGGCTCAGTTTTAAAGCACAGGGAAGATAAGGCATGGGGTTTCTAAAATAGCTTCCAAATAAAATATCCAGCCCTTCCTACTACTAAACCCCTGATTATGCCGATACCAGTTACCTTCAGAATGAACATGAAAAAAACACCTGTGCTTGATTTGGTGTCAGAATATATGAAGTATTAAACAGAGATGATAGAGGGAGGGAGGGATAGAAGGATGGATGGATGGAGGCTTTTACAGGGTGTCCATGGGTCGTTCAAAATCATTAAAAGTAATCAAATTATTATTATTTATTTATTGAAAAAAAATTTAATTAAATAAAAAAAATTTTTTTTATAAAAACAATTTCATCAGATAATTTATATCGGATATAAGTTCTGCATGCTTGCACGGAGTTGCTTCCAGTTGATCATATGTTTGGAAAAGAAGCTTGAGGCGGGGAAAAAGCTAGACAATGGGAAAAAAGAGGAATTCGGGACATGGCTGCAGCCTGTAGACTGAAGAAGATAGATAGATAGATAGATAGATAGATAGATAGATAGATAGGTATCTAGATAGATAGATAGATAGATAGATAGATAGATAGATAGATAGATAGATAGATAGGTATCTAGATAGATAGGTATCTAGATAGATATGAGGGTCAGGGGTACTTAAAATGATTTCTAAGACCATTAAAAGGGAATTAAAAAGCATTAAATTGGAGTTACTGATTCCTGTGTAAACCCTGATTTAAGGATGGATAGAACAGATGCAGAGTATTTATGTTGTAAAAACACTGTACAGTACAGTACTTTGTTTATTTTCTTATGATATTTTTATACCATTTTCTTAGGTCAGTATTGTGGGACCACTTCTGCTCTAACCTTTTGCTGCTGTAACACCACAATGTCCCCATTGTGGGACTATAAAGGGATTTTCTTTTCTATTCTATTCTCTANTAGATAGGTATCTAGATAGATAGGTATCTAGATAGATAGGTATCTAGATAGATAGGTATCTAGATAGATAGGTATCTAGATAGATAGATAGGTATCTAGATAGATAGATAGGTATCTAGATAGATAGATAGGTATCTAGATAGATAGATAGATAGATAGGTATCTAGATAGATAGATAGGTATCTAGATAGATAGATAAATAGATAGATATGAGGGTCATGGGTACTTAAAATGATTTCTAAGACCATTAAAAGGGAATTAAAAAGCGTTAAATTGGAGTTACTCATTCCTGTATAAACCCTGATTTAAGGATGAATAGAACAGATACAGAGTATTTATGTTGGAAAAACACTGTACAGTACTTTGTTTATTTTCTTATGATATTTTTATACCATTTTCTTAGGTCAGTATTGTGGGACCACTTCTGCTCTAACCTTTTGCTGCTGTGACACCACAATGTCCCCATTGTGGGACTATAAAGGGATTTTCTTTTCTATTCTATTCTCTAGAAGAAGGGAGGGATGTAGGCATTTATGGATGGATAGAAAGGGATTTTAGATGAGGAAGGGATTTATGAATGGAATGATGAATTAACTGATGGATGGATGAGGGATGATGAAGGGATTGATGGATTGACAGAGGAATGGATGGATATAAACAATATTAACCTTTGCAAAACATTTGGAATGAAATAATCCACTTTTATCTATGACATTTTTTGTTATAGATATGACACTTAGGCGAGGATCTGCTGAGGATCATTATTTTAACTCTTTGTAGCAGTCACCATTTTTCCCAGCAGTTCCAGTAATACTCATGTTTGTCATTCTCCCATCTGATAATGGTAGCTGAGAGAACAGCACCAGTGGGGCCGCTGTATAACCTCAGCTTTCTAGACTAATTTCACTCTGCTTCATCCCTACAGATGTCAACTCCTTCCAGCAGACGTCAAAATGGATTGACGATGTGAGAACAGAGAGAGGAAGTGATGTCATCATCATGCTCGTCGGCAATAAAACAGACCTGGCAGACAAGAGGTATATAGATGAGGCCTAGCTTACCGCCTAACTTTGGCATCTGCTTTTATGTACTGACACCATGGAAACAGTCTGTCTGAAGGCAGATTGAGCTGAACACAACAGAGCACAGCTTTTATACATCGCTTTTATGTATCGCTAAGGTGGAAACGATCCCCTTAGGATGAACGTAGGTATAATTTAATGTCACAGTCAGCACAGGAAGATGCGTGAGAATCATTGTCTGTAATGGATACAGCCATTAGCCTCACGGAACGAAACTAAACGTCATTTAATTGTTGTGATGTTTGTAGCTCAGCAGATTCTCCTGTCAGACCACCTGCTTTGAAATTAGACAATTATGACTGAGTGAGTTAACACCTAAACTACTGGATTTTCTTTCCTCCTCAGCACATCCTGCACAGTTTGTATGGTTGTCCAAAAAAAAAAAAAAAAAAAAATGGAGGAGAAAATGCTGACGTGACCAGATTCTTAATGAAGCCGGGGTAGAAAAAAAAAGAATCGATTCTAAATGTACATTATTAGGAGGGCAGGACAAAACGCAGAGGGAGCTGAACCATTAAATAGCTCATGTTTTCTTGGTTAAATGTGTTGATGTGTACAAAATGTAGGCCACAGATGGATTTCACACACAGGTGTAAATGTAAACGATGCTTTATATGTTGGTAATTGTGGCATTAATACACCTGAAATTGGATAAAATCTGATAATAAGGCAGTGAATCAAGAAAATTGTTTTGCTTTGTTGCAGTTATATTATTTAGTATTTCAAATTTTATTTAAAGAATGATTACAGAGTACTTCTCATTCATGGAGAAACAAGATACTCAGATTAAAGAAATGTATAAAAATAACACAAATTAGTGATGCACAAAACATACAGTTTAAATAAGGAGTTATTTGATTGCTCTGTGCCTGGTACTGAGGGGCAGTTTTTGGAGGCTGGAATATGAGGACTGGATAGGTCAAGAATGTCCTTAAGGTAGGAAGGGGCTGTTAGTAGAGTTCCTTGAATATCTGAAAGAGGACTTTAAAGGGGCTTAGTCACATACTATGGGTCTGATCTTCAATGATTCAGAACAAGGGGTGCTAATTTGCATTTGTGTTTTGTTTTTTTTGTATGTGCAATAAATGCCCATGTAAAAGGTGGTCTAAAAAGATTTCTGCACCATGTTAAGACATTCATATAATATAACTAACCACAATATAACCACAGTATATCTGTTGTGGAGTTCTACAGGCAGTTTGAGACTAGCTATAAAAGAATACTTTCCAAGACAGGTGGAGGTAATGGTGATAAAATGATTTAAAAAAGATTAATTATAATACCAAATAATATTTTGAAATTAGGTAGACAGGAAGTGGGTTTAGAGGGGGGGAATAAATGCAGCAAAGGTCTCCTGTAACAGCCACATCAAGGACCAAAGCTTCTGTACATGGTTGGCGTGCTCAACTCATGCTCCACAGCCACTCCTATAATAATAAACAATATTTCTAGAGCAATTTGCATAGCCATCTTTAAGTGCTATGAGTAAGTAGCTCTTAGAGTGCCACTTGTTTTCTAACAAAAACAAAGAAATAAAGCAAAATAAATAGTTTCATAGTTTAATTTTATATCCTTTGTACACAACTGAGAGAGATCATTGAAATTTAAAATAAAAAAATGCGTCACTGAAATTTGTAAAGTCAGTCGGCTGCTCCTTCAGGCTAACTGCTGTTTAAGATTTGAGTCGTTATGCTATAGTCAGACCCGACGGAGCAAAATGAAGGATGGAGACAACGTGGATATGATGCTTTTGTGTTTTTAGAATGAGAGATTGCTGTCAAAGGTGGATCCACTTGTTGAGTTGTATGAAGATTTAGTGACATATTTCTGTCCAGTCTTTAAAACACTGGATTTAGTGTTACTGATCTAGAGAAAATTACCTTCATCCATGTGCTGGTGAAGGTTCTCAGTTATCCAGGTCTTAGTGATTCCAAAAAAGAAAATGAAAAACAATCCTCTGGACTTTGTTTCCAAGTTTGAAGACGTTTCGCTTCCCATCCAGGCAGCTTTTTCAATTCAAAATGTCAATTCCAAATTCAGTTTGAGGTTTCGAACTCGAACTATTCTGGACATTTTTTATTTTTTTTTTTGGAATCACCTTCGTCCATGGTTTAATGTCCTTGTTACAGTCTGTGGGTTGGTTATGTGCATCTGGTGTCGCCTATAAATATAAAGAAAAAATCAAAAACTAAGCTGAGAATATTGGGTTCTGCCCTTTTAGGACTGAGTAGTGTGCATTTATAAAACTGCTATGCATCAATAATCCATTAGACTAGTGTTATACTATTTAGCTAGCTGCATTCTATAGCCTCACTTATATATTATACACGCTGCATCAGCAAGAAAACAATCAGGTGGTAATTTATACTTATGTGATGGATTCTCACTGTACACTATAGCTTTATTAGATTCATGCTTTACAGTTCTCCATATTTCTCTATATTGGCCTCATTAGTATTATACCGATGCTGGAAAGAGATTCCATTATTGCATTCTTCCTCTGAACGATGGAGCAATACCAAATGTCAGGTTTGCTGCAGGAAAATCTATCCTTGTGAGGTGAGTAATTTTATTGGTACAAAATGCATTAATTTCCCCAGCTAGGTCCACAGTTTTTGAGCTGCTGACAGAAATTCCCCTGGCGTTTTTTGCTCCAGTATGTCAGGAAACTGAGAGAAATCAGGAGAAGTGCTGATGACGGCGGTTTTTCTCGGATGTGTCCCGCTGGAGCTGCCAATACCGCTTCCATAACAACAGATGTATTGAGAAGCTTTGGTTTCAGATAACAGGGCTGCTCCTGGTCAGGCCTACATTACTGAATAAGTTTTTAACCTATTCTGTTAAATTTAATCAGAGTTAGATTTACTTTTTTTTTTTTTTTTTTACTTCTTAAGCTGTTTCCCTTTTATTTAATGATTAGTTAAATTCAGTTGAAGTTTAATCGACTCTTAATGTTGACTGAATATTAAAACCTCTGTTTACTGCATTAAGATCCCATCAGCTTCCTTCCTTAATCTCCTTTGTGAAGGGAAATGAGCCTCATAGCTGCATAAACTGATCAAAGTGACAGATTTTTAGCAGAATAAAGGTGAAAAAAAATAGAAGTGTTGTGTTCGAAGTAAATGTTTTGTCAGCGGATCGTTTTAAATCCTATTAATGTGCAGATTATTTAAGTTGCTGCAGAAGAAAGCCACATTATTCGAAGCAGCATTGCTGCAAACGTTTATAATGAGCATTTAGCTTCTTGCGCCACAGCAGGTGATCAGACCATGCTTAGTTTGACTCCGGCATCGTCTTTGTCTCTATCTTTATGTTGCTTGTTTTTAATGTCCCTCTAAAGGGAATTTTGATGGAAAAAGGGAATTATTTTCAACTATTATGAATATAAGTGAATAGAAACCCAAAATCCATTTCAGCTGGTCTCTTCTTGCCTTGGTTTTGTTCAATGGGGTGTGGTGCCGTTTTTGACAATTCTCAGTGCTTAGGGGAGCAGAAACAGTCTAGAAGCTGCAGATCTGCTGGAGCTCAGCATGAGGGGAAACTGGTGTGCACCAGCAGGAGGCGGCGGCTGAGCCCAGCTAACTGGAAAAAGATTTGATGGTGGTCAGATCTGTGAAATCGTTCTAATGAAATGGTACTTTTTGAACGATAACTTTATTGTTCATTTATCTTTCTACCTTCAAACGAATTGAAGTCGTACCGCTGTCGTAGTTTTCTCATGTTACTATAAAGAAATTTCAATGTACAAGAAATATAAAATAATACATGGTATGTGGTGTTAATTAGTGTTTAGTCCCTTTGAATCAAATCTGGGTAGTACCATTATTTTTCTGTAGTTACTGTACAGCTGCAGTCTCTACCAGCCTTGGACTCTTTACATTATGGATCAACAGCATTCTGTTTACATGAAGCAGAAAACTAATTTATTTCTGTTTCCATTGCTGCATGAATCGACCCCCACTATGTTTCACTGTAAATATGCTGTTGATAGGTTTTCAGGAAGTCAACATATTGGCATATCTGATCTATGTGTTCACCTCCATGTGTGTCCTTTATATTTCCTTTCATATTTAGGCTCTTCATTAGTTGGTGTATAAAAAAAAGATATAACAAAAAGAAGCCAGTTTGTATTTAGTGAAATAATCAAAGTTAAAAGTGTTGCGATAAACTTTCTAGAGGAATAGCTGTTTGTTTAGGTATAAATCCACCTAAAAAAACTTAAATATGAAAAGGTTCAGTGTATTTTATCACTCACTTGAAAATAGCTGAACTTCTATATATGCAATATATATTGAGATATATTTAGGTTTTGTTTCTTGTAATTTTGATAGAGATCCATCCATCCATCCATTTTCTCCCCCTTAGTCCTGCCAGCGTCACGCAGTGACTCAGGCAGTCTATGGGCGAGTGACATACAATAATGCACATACTCGTACATAAGGAGAATTTGGAGAAGCCAATTAAGCTAACAGTCATGTTTTTGGACTGTGGGAGGAGGCCAGAGTACCCAGAGAGAACCCACACATGCACAGAGAGAAGATGCCAACTCCATGCATGGATTCAAACCTGTAACCTTCTTGCTCCAATGCAACAGAGCTGCAAACTGTGCCCCTGTGCAGGCCTATAATCCATTATTATCAAATTAAGACATTAATGATTTAAATAAATTGTCAGGAAGCTCTTTGTGAATTTGGAAAAAAACATTTTGATTTTTTTTGAGCCATGCGTTTATGTTATTAATGCTTATGCATGCACATAGACATGCAAATCCCTTGCTCAAAATTGTAAATAGGATAAAAATAAATAATAAGATCAGAAATTGACTGGGGTATTATAAGCTTTTGAGGTTGTTGGTTTGGGCTATATGTTAATGGTGTTTCATACATCTGATTGGGTCTCCTCCAGCTCCTATCCTCAGTAATCTGGCTCTGTGTCTGTTAAAAATAGCATTTTAATTATGAGCGGTATGGGAATGAGGCCTTTAATGGATGAAAAGGATGGGTTTAGATCTTTGAATGAAAAGATAACAAAATAAAAATGATCTAAACTCTGAGTTTCTGTACATTTGTGTTTTAAAGATTAAATCTGGGAGGCTGCAACTGTAAGCTTTGAATCTAAACAAGGTTACAGTAAAGAGCCGACTAAATGAGTAGAAGAGCTATCATTATTAAAGCTGCAAACTTTATGTTGGTATTCTGAAGAGCATGGATCCTGTTTTTAACTTTGAGATCAGCAAGTCTGATAAATGCTGCATGTTTTGTAGCATGAATAATAGAAAAGAACGGGTTTTGTAGAATTGAGCTCAGCCTTACCGTTATCTCTGCAAACTCTCTTGTTTTGTTTTTTCTTCAGCCTGAAG